CGGGCTGCTGGTGCGTAAAGCCAATCATTGGCGCCGCTGGCTTGGATGGGGTGTTTTAGTCTCGTTACACATTTGGCCCGAGCCATCCTGGCTATTTCGGAGATATGAATTCAGGTATTGTTCTGAACTAGACGGTCACTGGAGCAAATGGAGTAAATGACTCGAAAATAGTGGCGCTTGCTAACGGTTACGGCGGTTGAATTATTATTCTTTTTTTTATTTTTCTTTTGGGTACTCAAGAAAGGGAATATGGTACTCCGTACAACATATACAAAAATCAAAATCACCCACTCAACCTTTCTCTTCGCCCCTCTCTTTTGCTACACAAGCGCTAGAGTGTATAAAAGCAAGATGAACGTGCAGTCGATCTCTTGGCTCCACGGGACAATGCAATGCGAGGTTAAATCTCAAGTTGCACGGCCCCAGCCTAGTTCCCTCATCACGCTAGATCCTGGCGTCGTGGTGGGCTGTTATTCGCACGAGAGAAAGTGGCGTCAGAGATTACCCCAAGTCACATGGGAAAGAGAGTCACAATTCTAATCTCCAGGGTTGTAGGCCTCATTATATGATATCCATACATTCCGTACTTCCGTACCCACTTGGGCAGGGTATTACTCTCTATACGGGCTATCTCGGTCGATTCACTTTTTTTTTAATATATCTGTACAACACATCAATAGTCTGCAGGGAACATCCCTGTCAGTTGTCGGCTCTCACTCAAATTCTCCTCGTGTCCGAGTCTTGCGCTGTACGTAAATTATGCTGTACTACACATGCCTCTCAAAGGCCTTGTACCCATTGTGTCCCCGATCTTTAGTCGGCCTTATCTGGCATCAACGTCTGCCCAGACGGCATCGGGCATATTCCTCTTGCAATGAGGTACAGCGTGGGGAAAGCATGGCAACCCCTGGTGAAACATTATAGACCGGATATAAAAGGGAACTAAAAAAAAAACACTATCAATTTGATAATAGTGCAACTTTAAGAAAAAACAAAACTCGGAAAAAAAGGAAGGGTAGGAAAAAAAAGAAAAAAAAACTCGCCTAAATCAAGGAAAAGCCCGAGAAAAGCCTGAAAGTCTGCACGGACAGAGTCTGCAGGCAACTGCAAGGTACGGACGAACCCGTCGATCGACGCGAGATTGACGGCACAGTGAAGTGGAGGTTCATATGGGAGGACTAGTTTTTGTCTGTAACCTCTTATGGAGTAAGAGTTCTAGACGGAAAACGTCGGAGGGACGATCAAACTAATTTTTGACTAAAAGGATTGAAATTATTTCAAATATTATTTACTATACCTATCATATAAGAGTTATATCTCCTTGCAACGGTTCCATACACATCCGAATTGCGGAGTTGCCGTTCAATAATTGTGGATCTCTTTGATTTTAATATAAAAATCAATATGAAGAATAATATAAAAAAGAAAAGCCTCAAGATTTATTCAAGGCTATTTCCTTTTCTAGAAAGTATTGAGGCGGATCCTTCCCCCCTAAACTACTGTACGCTGTATGTGCAGCGGGTATCGGGCCGTCGATAGCGAGCTGCGGTGCAGGGATCTGTCAGCCCCCCCTCTTTTTTTTTCGTTTTTGTTATGGCCTACGGAGTGTATGGAGTACGGAGTCTACTCTTACCTACTTTAAGAAAAAAAAATAACTTATAAAAGATCTACTGCCAAGCATTTTACATTGAAAATATTAAGAAATAATGTGCCCGTATTTTTCCGACCCCATGTTCACCGACCTCTCAAGGGCAAAATCTCGGCTTGCAGAAAATAAATGCAAATGAGATAATTTGATATATTATCTCCCCGAATCCCATTGGATCTAGGTCTTATGTATGGTGGTCAATGCATATATCAGGGTAGGACTGAAAAAAAAAGGTAAATTCTTAGCTGTCACTTTTTTTTTTGGAATGCGTGGAAATTGACATCTGTCAATCTGGAAAGATTTTCGGTTTAGAAATCTAGTCCGTGAATAGCTTAGTCTCTGGAGAATAGTACTCCGTAATAATATAAAGAAAAGAAAAAAAGTAGAAATGCAAGGGGACTTTGACCCTGCCCTTTTTTTACTTGCGCTTATAGGTATATCTTTTTCCCTTAGGGAAGAAATAAGCGGTGTACTGGGGTTGAGTTGGCTGTTTACTTTGATCCCCTTACTGGGATCTGGCTCTGGGCAGGATAAAATTATAAATCAATATGTGTTTATTTCTAGAAATATTATGGCTGTCTATGCGTAAATTGTACCCATTCTAGGTCCTATGAGGAACGATCGACAGTCAAAGGAGAAAAAAAAAAAAAGAAAAAAAGAAAAAGAAAAAGAGGAGTTTCTGGATGCATCATCACGGGGACTCCCAGTTGGGATTATGATGCTACGTGTGAACATCTTTCAATTCGGGCTAAAATTGGGACAAAATATACACTAATTTCTTTTTTTTTTTTTTTTTTTTTGCTTTTTCCATAATTTTTCTCATTTCTCTTCAACTTATCTCTTTGTGAGAGAGAACAGACCCTTGATCTACTTCAAGCCACCCGTGTTTCGTGGTTCCTTCTGAGCCACTGATTTTCCCCTCTGCATCCCTGGGGTGTGACGTGCTTTTCTCTCTCTCCACTGTTACTCACGGCCCGTCTTAACGCCCAGATCGTCCCGAACCACAAAAAGGAAAGGTAAGGCGTATTGTAATTGTTCTTGGCTAATGCCAATTGCAATGGCCCACTTCGGTTATAGCCGTATAATCTACTCTGTAAAGTTTGAAGGGATTTGAGGAGTACATCCGAGAGGGGACAAGCCTGTCCGGTGAATGGTTTGGTGAGTTAGCGCTGAGATTCTGACCATTCAAGACCTTTAGCTTATACCCCAAACAGAGGGGGGGGAGAAGCACTCCAAAAGCGGGAGAGTGCAATCGACAGTGCAGCCGCCGCGCATTACCGGGTTCTGTTTTTTTTTTTTTTTTTTACGGAGGACTTTCTCCGGAGAGATTTCGTACTGAATAATACTGTGTAATTATATTCCAAGGTTTCCCCCTCTCCCCGACTATGGTTCACTTTGAGTGGGACCCGCGTGGAGAACCTTGGAACGGGTTCTATGAGCCTTATACGGAGTATACAAGATTTGTATATATATAACTAGGTATAGAGAGATATATATACCATATATATCTAATAACCTCGGAAAGTACTAAGTAGAAACAAGTTTGGACCAGAGAAAAAGAGTCCAGAGTAACCCTCTCACAAATTAAATTTCATCGGGAATCCACTAAGGAAATCAACTCCCAGATCCAGCGGGCCTATCCCGGCCGATCGTGTTGTCTTTTTTTTCCTGTCACACAGACCAGGATCCTCAGCTGGGAATATTTCTTTTCTCTGTCCCTGCAGTTAAGACTAAGTGGGAAATGTTAGTAACCTTTTTGTTAATAGAATGATTCCCTTGGCGCTTAATTCTGCTGATCTGAATAGTCCTTACTTGGTGGCGTAGAAAATACATGTAATATATAACTAAAAAAAGAAAGAAAGAAAATAAGATTGAAAAGGAAAAATAAAAAAAAAAATCGAGAGAGAAAAAGAAATCGAAAAAAATCCAAAAAAATAACAGATATCGAGTCTAGAGGATGATCTGAACGCACGGTTCTTGTCAACTCCTCTCCGGGGGTCCACTGTGATTGATTCGATGGCTTCTCACTTTCTTCCCTTTTTTTCCTCTTCGTTTCTCACTCAAAAGACGGGGCAAGCCGGGATTTCTGCAGACATTCTTCTCTTTCTTCTTGCTTAACTTAGTCAGCTTATTATCCTCCACTGATCGACTTTCCCGCTGCGGCTCAGCGTCATTTCGCTTCACCTGTTTTCCCCTCTCTTAACCGCCTTTGCTAAGTTTCACTGTACGATTCCTTGTTTTATTTTAAGCTCCCTTTTCCCTTTTATTTTTGATTTTTGTGGTTTCTTTTTTCAAACGCCATCTATCCAGCCTGCAGTGCATAGGGATGCGTTTGCTGCACCACCCCAGCCTCCACCTTTCTGTACGTCCTAACGCACTTCTTTCTCAACCCCCCCCCATCCCTCGACTGTCTGAGATCTTTCTCTCCCCCCCTTCATCCGGCTTCGGCCTTATTTTATCATTCAATGCGCTCTAGTTGAAGAGTTTCTTGATATGATTCCTGCATGACCTTGAAACGACCCCAAAACTTACGCCTTTTCTGTTTAGTTCTGCTGAAGCTACCCGAACTTTGATGTGTTCGATTGACGATTCTTAATGATTCTGATGACCATTGTGCTTCTCTGAATTCGTCGACTTTTTTTTCCCCCTCAGAATCTTCATTGCGCTTCTGTCTAGACCTCCCGAGTTTTTACGAAAGGTTTACGACTTACTACGAAGCTCCACTACGATATTGCACGGCATCGCGTGCATTTTCCATCACTTACATATATTTTTTCGAACGTTTGATTCTGAAAGCCCGTTGGAAAAATTTCGTTTGCAGTTTCTTTCTTTTCCTTTTTTTTTCCCCGGTGCAACGTGCAACGTTCGCAACTTTCTGTGGATTTTTCAATTCTGCAGCCTATATTGATAGCACGCCGGACGATATTTTCAACGTCCGCTCGCTTCAACTCTCTATTCTAAACCGTTTATCCGTGCAACCGAAAAGCTGGAGCTGCCGTCGATATCGCAGGTCCATACCCGCGGTCCTGCTGACATCCCCTGGTACAACCATCACGCGGCAGAACGACCGTTATTGCCCGGCGACAAACTCCCCGCTCTCAGCCTACCGACAGCCCAGGGCCTTTCCCGGACCGCCTATCACGATCCGTCCGTGACCAATTCCACCAATTCTAGCGCTCGCACGAGTCTGTCTGGTGCCTCCGTGCCGGCCAACGAATCTAGGAGCCCCCCGCCCTCTGCGGACCTATCTGGGACCCAGGGTCGGCTTTCATTAGACTCTTCCGCCACTGAATATAGTATTCCACCTTCGGTAAACGAAGGGTACTATCCTAGCCCGACTTCTCTCGGCAGCATGAACCAGGCCCAGCCGTATATGGATGCCCACTCGCACATGTCTTCTGCTCAGTCATACGCTCCTCAAGGCGCAACTGCTGGCGCAATGTCCCATTATCAGTACCACGGACAGCCCCCCGTGATGCAGCCCGCGTCCTCTTACGCCCCGGCTGCTTACCCCCAATATGGGTACACCAATGGCGTTACTTCACCCCCAGGACACCCACCGAGCTCCATGGGCCAGATGACGGCTCAGTTGCTGCCGTTACCTGGTAAGCTCCAAAGCCAGAGCGTCGATGATTATTCTGATCGTTATCAAGTGAGCAATCACGCCGTGGCGCCTCCAAGCGGATACGGGAACAACACTGGCGCTCCGCTTCAAGGGTTCGTCTTCGATGGTACCGGTCAGGTCGCTCCTCCGGGAGCCAAACCGCGAGTGACTGCCACTTTATGGGAGGATGAGGGGAGTCTTTGCTACCAGGTGGAAGCAAAGGGAGTCTGCGTTGCGCGACGAGAAGGTAAGTTGATTCTATGACAAGAGATCAAATTGGACTTTTTTTTTTTCTGACTGAGTATCTCGCAGACAACCACATGATCAATGGTACAAAGCTGCTGAATGTAGCTGGCATGACCCGTGGTCGACGTGATGGAATTCTGAAAAGCGAAAAGCTTCGCCACGTTGTGAAAATTGGCCCGATGCATTTGAAAGGTGTCTGGTATGTATTTTGCGCCCGCACGAACATGTGTATCGTCAATCGCTAATTCTTTGCTATTCAGGATCCCATTCGAGCGTGCTCTGGAATTTGCCAATAAGGAGAAGATCACCGATCTCTTATATCCACTCTTTGTGCATAATATCGGTGGTCTTCTATACCACCCGGCTAACCAGACTCGGACAAACATGGTAGTGCAAGAATCCCAGCAGCGACGGCTGGAAGGTCCTCCCCCGGGTCCCCATCGGACACCGTCTGGATCTCAGCAACCCCCAATTCACCATCAGCAGTCCTCTATGCAGCAGACGCCCATGTCCTCTCACATGTCTCAAGGCCCAATGAGTGGCCAGCCCGGCTCGAGGCCTGGCCTCGAGCGTGCCAACACTTTCCCTACACCGCCAGCTAGCTCATCTAGTCTGATGGGTGTCACCAATCAGAGCGGTCCATACGAATGGGGCGGACCCGTGCCACACACGCAGCCCCTGTCCATCGACACTACACTGAGTAACCAGCGCTCAATGCCAACTACCCCCGCAACCACCCCACCGGGCAACAACATGCACGGCTTACCAGCCTACCAAAGCCAAGCCTACGACAGCTCCAAGCCCTACTACTCAGCGGCGCCACAAACGCATGCCCAATACGCGCCGCACACCCCATTGACCCAATCAGGGATGTCCAGCTACGGCCAGTCCCTGCCCGGCGGGTACATGAAAAGCGAAATGGCGCCACCGAACCCACGCCCCGGTGCCTCTGAGCCCGAAGCCTCCGAGCGCGACTCCAACCGCTATAGCCAGAGCAATGGGCCCGGCGAGCCCGTCGCCGAGCACGATCAGGAGTATATGCAAGACCACAATGCCGGCTACAACTCCAACCGTGGATCTTACACTTACACCACAAACCCCTCCGTCAGCTCCCTCACCCTCACCGGCGAACACTCCCAGCTCACCCCGGAGATGACCAGCTCCCCGAGCCAGCAAAACGGCTCCGGTCGCATGACCCCGCGCACGGGCGCTGGCCCCCCTCCCCACTGGGCTTCGGGGTATAACACTCCTCCCCGTCCCGCCGCCGCCGCTACCCTGTACAACGCTGTCAGTGACACGCGCGGTACCCCGGCCAACGGTGCTTCGGACCCTTACTCCATGGCCTCGACCACGGCCCCGGTCTACGCGACTGGCAATGGCTCGCTAAGTGCAGGCAGCAAACGCATGCGTGAGGACGAGGATATCCGCCCCGAGAGTACTGCTGAGTACGAGACATCGAAGCGTCGTAAGACGATCACCGATTCTACTCTCGGTGGTCCAGTTGGTGGCCCGCCTATACTTCAGCCAATGAAGCCTAGTGCGGTCATGGCTCGCCATCGGTGAGTGTGATTCAATTGTGGCTTCTAGCTTGTGGCTCTACTTCTGTTCGGGTTTTGTTTGATTTCTGCTGGATTCCTATTTTCTTTTTTCTTTTTTGTCCATTTCTCGGTCGGAGTTTGTTTTTCATGATAGACTGCGCATGCACAACCCGCATGGCGCGTCGAGGTTTGCGTCTCGCACATGTGGACACTGGCAGCCTCGGCGGTGTCGAAACGAAACGAAGCTCATTTGTCTCTTTGTTTTATGCCTTCAGGTTGAAGAAATCCTGGAATATCTAACCTGTGTGGGGAGAAAGAACTAGGCGCAAGATCTGTTCACCATTAGAAAAGCATTTCTTGATACTTCCACGTTGAAAGACTTGTTGAATACTTGGTGATCGCAAACATGACTACGATGTGACGAATCTCTTATGAACGAATTTTCTTTGTGTGATGACTTGACCACGAGCCATCTTAACGAGTTGTTTTTTATCTCTTTTTTTTTCTTTCTATCATTGTTTATCATTTGTGCGTGTTCTGGGTTTTGAAAAGGATATTCTTCGTGGCATGGCCTCGGCTTTGGTTTTACTTCCCTCTCTACTTCTCTGCCTTGCTATTGCTATTGCTTTTGCTACTGCTACTCTACTAGAGAGATGATTATCATGGTAATGAACGGTTATGAACTCTGGGTTTGCATACCTTTAGCGACATACAACGTTGGTTTTGGTCCGGTCTAAATGGATTGTTCTTTTTCCGACTCTTGACAATTTTCTGTAAATGTAGCCTACTGGACATTGACTCGTGTCACTGTTCTATTAATGCTTGTCCGACTTGATACCATAACTATCGGGGACATTCATCATGCTTGTCTTGTACCTTGTTCAAATGAATGTTCTGAGTCAGCCTGAAGTGGCTATAGGACTTACCTGTTCCAGTCTGGCAGTGACAGCCTCAGACTGTAGCATTAGTTCAAGGTCAAAATCCACCTTTTCAGCAGACTAAAACTATTAAAATAGGATCTGTATAAATTGTATTGGCTTCATGGGTAACCACGTGACCTAATCTACCCTATCTAACTCAAAACGGCAAAATCAAAACACATCTGAACCATGGTTCTTTCCGCTCCACACCATGGCGACTTCTCGCCAATTTCAACTCAAACTGAACCACATCCTAGAACATGCCATCCTAGTCAACTTGATCCTCGAATAACCAATGGACAACCCTCAAAAACTTGCGAGATCCAACCATGACTACCGACCGACCAAAACCACCCGCCCAACCACAACGCCCAGAACCGCGAAACCACCACACTTTCGATCCCTGGCAGTCAGCCTCAACGGGACACCAGCGAGCAGCTGAAGGTGGCGGTTTCCTCGGCTCAACATCATGGCGGGAGACGCGCTCGGCGAAACTGACCATGCAGTATCAAAGCGGGGATTGTCTTCCAGGACGGGCCTTGGGACTGGGAGTGCGGAACACAGCAACGCGAGAGTCGACGCTTGTACCCGGTGCGTTCGATGGGAAATGCACGCAGTCGCCGCCTAAAGTACCCACTTATGGTGAATGGGCCATGGTTGCTGGGGATGTGGCTAAGCGCAATGAACTCGGCGTTCGGGATATTCGGTCGTTTATGGGCGTTAGCAAGCGGAAGGCAGTGGATGAACTTGAAAATGATACCAAGGCCGAGACGAAGAAGATTAGGACTGTTGTTGGAGGGAACCGGAGTCCGAGCCCAACACGAAATACAAAGGAAACGGAAAAGGAAAAGGAAAAGGAACAGTCTCAAATAGAAGGCAACCCCCAACCCGACTCCGGCTCTGGCGCCAGCCTCGATCTGAGATCGACTTCGCATATCTTTGCCGGTGTTACGATTTTCATCAATGGCTCCACGCTTCCCCAGATCTCGGAGTATAAGCTGAAGCACCTACTTGCGTCGAACGGTGCGAAGACTTCTATCTACATGGCCCGGAAGACGGTGACGCATGTTCTCATCGGACAGCCCAATACCGGGTTTGGAAGTGGAAAAGCTGTGGTTGGTGCAGGGGGAGGTCTTGCTGCTGGTAAGCTTCAGGAGGAAATTGCTCGTGGGGGGTGGAAAGGTGTGAAGGTTGTTAGTGTGGACTGGTATGTACTATCGTGCTGTTGAATGACCTGACAGTGATCCTTTCTGACGTTGAACCTATCATTACTAGGGCTCTCGAGAGTATTAAAGCCGGGCGTCGTCTTGCGGAGTCCCGGTTCCCTGGTATGCATGTTGCGGCTATGGGGCAGCGGAGTGTTGCTGGGATGTTTGGGGCGCAGGGGGCGAAGTGATCTTCTTTTACATGGATATCCTTGATATCTAGCGACTTGGTTCTTTTCTCTTTTTTGGTTTGCATTGCACTGCATTTATGGCGCCCTGGATAGAGTCACGGTTTTCCGTCAATTTTCTGGTTGGGATGATGAATATTCCAACTACATGCACTTATGATACCCAACGATCTATGACCACATCGAATCTGATTATCTGTTTGAACTTTCTCTCGTTCCATTGATTACTGCACTACCGTTGTTAATATCACTTTAAATAAATGTAGACTTCCAATACTCTGCTTTCGACATGACATTTGTACTTGAAGCTCTCATTTCATTAATCAATCATGAACCATTATCATGACATACGTTATATACAGAATCAAAATCACAACCACAATCATATCATGTACAGATCGGTGATAAAACGGAGTTCGATCACATAACACAAAATAGTCGGGAAAAAATAACAGCAAAGAAGAGAAATATCAACAAAATCTCCTAATAAGCGCCGTAGCCATGCAAAATACATCGTGAGAAAGAAATCATGATATATGCGTTATGAATCAGAATCCCCAAGATGGCCATATAAGCCAGATAGATCGCGAAGATATCTCACATTCACCTGAAGGAACTTCCCCTACCTCCACGCGTGGCATATGTCTCGCCATCATGGCTGCTGTTGTCAGACACATGCCGACGCCAGCCGCTCTGTTGGCGAGTCGGATGGGCAGGCGGGTGATCATTGTAGCCTTCCGTCTCGCTAGAGACAGTCGTTACCATATCAGACTCCGAAGAGACCGATCTCAACCCCGATGCATTGGTTGCGGTGGGCATGAGATCGATGGTGGTGGTGGGTGTGATATCAGGGAGGGGCGGAAGGGGGTTTGGATGGCGGTGGGTAGAGAAGGAGGATTGGGCGGGAGGTGGGGCGCGCGAATGGGGATGGACTGAAGAGTTGGTCCGTGTGCGAGTTCTGCTGCCACTGCCCCGCGATGAAGGGTGTTTCCAGCCCTCTTCTTCGTGGGATAGCGGTTCTGGGGATGAGGTGGCTTGTCGGTTATGTGGAAGGTAGTAGGGGTTGTGGGACTCCGAGTGATTGTGGTGATTATCCTCATATGCAGGAAATGCGGCGGTGGACATGCTGGACACAGAGTCGCCATGTGGCCGGCCCACGAACATGGGCTGGGGCTCCCCAAGTTCCGACTCAGCGCTCGACCAGCGTTCTAGCTTTTCGTTAAGAAGTTCTTCTTCTGGTCGTGAATGACGTGAGTCGCCGTGGACAAGGCCGAGGGATTCTTCCTCGGTTGCGGACTTGCGCAGGTCGGCTTCCAGGTGCGTTCGGCGTAGGATGCCACGAGGCGGTGAACCTGGTGTGGTCCTGACGGGGGATTCATTGCCGACTTTCACACGGCTCATCATGTTGTTGAAAGAGAACTGGCGGCGGGCAGTGTTGGTGAGAGGTTCCGGTGCCAGGGATTCGGGTTTTTCGTCTGCCCATGATATGGACCGTGGTGTATCGCTACGCGGACGGTTGGGGTTGAATGGAGCCTCCAAACCTCCAGACATACCAGCGCCATGGTATTCGGTGTCAGGATTGCCGCTTTGGTGTGGCAGTTCTGTCATGCCCACCGATTGTGTGTTGGCATCGGAACTTTTTTCCTCTTCTGTATTTACAGCCTTCCACTGGGAAGGATGAAGTACGCTGGTAGCCCGAGACCGAATGTTATCCATGAAGGAATGCCCGCTTTGCTTGGTGTTAGGTCGGTGGTCCTCCTCAGGCTCAACAGCGGGCACCCGAGACATGCCCCACGGCGGATGTTGTTGTTTGACCGAGGGTGTTCGCGGAGTGATTGGTCGTGACATTGTTGGTCCCTCGCCAATAATAGTCTTGCGCCGGCGCAGGCCATCCCACTCAATTATCTCATTCTCGCCTGGCACTTTGAGGGTATCCTCATGCTTATCATGGAAGAAACGGCGGGCTTCATCTGTTTCCATAGTGCGACGAGCAGTTGAAATGCGACGGATGATAGAGGCTGCACCTCGAATCGAGTCTGCTTTGGGCTCAGACTCGGGCTCTTCTACCTCGGCAACCTCCCGAATCTGATCTAGATCGCCCTTGAAAATAGCAGCATCGGGGACATCCTTGGCGGACTTGGATAGCTGTAGCAATACAACGCCGGCGCAGATTTGCAAGAACCCTATGATCACAGTTGCAATCTGAATTCCGGTGCCCTTAAAGCCTTGGAACAAAATGGCGGAAGTGAGAATGGTGGCGCTAGTGAACATCACATAGTAAGTCGGGGTGACCAGAGCGGCATTGAAAAGATTCAGCGCTTTCTGTATAGTAATTAGCACGGGTATAAAGCACAATGAGAGGGAAGATGTACATTGAGATAGATGATCTCGGTCAGCAGAGTGCCTATAACAAACACAAACAAGACATAGAGGAACCAATGCTTGAACTGTTCCTCGCCATTAATCTGAGCAAGAATAGCAGATCCTAAGCCCTGGGTAGCCACAACACTCAAACCACCAACCATGCTGCAAATACTGATATAAACAAACATGCTCGACTTGCCATAGCGTGGACCAACCCAAAGAGCTGTAAAAGCAGCTCCTATGATAATCAGCCCAGCATAGACAAGAAACCCAGGTTGAATAACAAAATGCTGCATGCTCTGAATATCCTTGACAGACGATTGCTCAGGCGCATTCATAGCAATCGTCACCGATCCAATAATACAACAGAAACAGCCAACTTTCCCCACGAAACTAAGTCGTTCCTTGAGGAAAATCGCCGACAGAATCGTCGTAATCACAACCGAGAGTGCACCAAGAGGTGTAACCAAAATCGCATCGACGAATGCATACGCCACGAAATTGCAGATCTCTCCGACAATCATCAGCGTCATGCCAGTCCACCACCAGAAATTCTTTAGATATCCATATCCCTCGCCAGCCTCCTCATTGTATTTCACGTTCGCCTTCAGCAGTCCGATCTTCTTAACCACGAAAGAGACACCGATGAATACACCCGATGCGACAGCTAGTGAAATGCCGACGGCCTTGTATATCGGTGGGCGACCTGAGGTTTCGGCGCGCGCCAGGAGGTTTGCATGCGATGCGAAGTTGGGATCCATGATAGAGGTTGAGAAACCGCACTGGCCAGCAGTGGGAAGAGAAGTCGGGACAGAGAGTCGTCCGAAGACAAGACTCAGCGACTATTTGAAACACTTATAACCCCTGCCACGATAATAAAGCTTTGGGACTATTAATAGAGTGACAACACACATGCAAACACTGGGGAATTGTGATTTGGAATATCTGGGAATGCTTCTGGAAAATGTCCACGAGGGAATTCCGCAAGGGGGCGCAGCCGTTGGGCGTTATGACTTTTCAGATGGCAAATATCGAATTTTTTTTGAAGGTGTTAAGAAAGTAGAAATTACAAAGAATAAAGAAGAATATGAATACAAAAATTAAAGAGAGAGAAAAAAAAAAAAAGGAAAGGGGAAGGGGATCAAAACAAAGAGGCTGGGTGTGGGGAAAAGGAGGTACTGCTACTTCTGGCCAGGGCGGCTAGGCTACGATCGACAGGTACCTGTACCTTTGGCATCGATATCATAGAGTATATGTTATCAACAGGCAATTTACTTGCTTCTATGTTGTACGTATGAAAGTATTTCTTAAACCCCCCTTTTTTTTCGTCTCTCATAATTACTATAACTATTCCCACATTTGGAGTCTCATAAATGTCGTCATTCATTATGCCCCAGGCCACTGACCATCTTTCGAAAGGGTCAAGATAAAAACCATAAAACAGAACGCCCTATCAACCCTAATCAACCGTCTCAATAGAGGGGTATTCAGCAGGAAAGACATAAAAACGTAATGCACATGTAAAAAAAAAAAAAAAAGAATAAAGGTCTCGAGAACGTGAGAATGGATCACCGCACGTGATAGCTGGGCTTCCGTTGCCGGTTCACCGTTGGTGGAGGCTCATCAACTGGATAAGGAGGCCGGGCTTTGGTGCTCGAGTTAGAAGGTGCTTGGGAGAAGAGCGGAGCGGGCATGGCCACACCGCCGTCATCTTGAGCTGGGTATGGGATGGGCGTCTTGGGAGGCACTGGCGGCGCCATGCCATTGAAAGTAAAATACTCATCACTATGGGAGGGCGAGTTCAGTTGTTGCGAGGTTGGTCTGCTTGCAAGCTCGTGGCTTCGACGATAGTCACTGCCAGATTGCCGGCGGGGAGAAGTAGATATGCTATCCTGAGGTGTTGGATGAACCGGGAGCGTGTCATCTGGTGGTGACGTAGTCACCACGGTTGGAATAGGTGGCGGTGCTTGTGAAGGGTGATGTGCGAAGTCAACAAACTCAGCAGGTAATTCCGCAGGTAGTTCGACAGCGAAATGCGCTGGGGGTGGAACATGAGATTGAACGGGAGGTGAAAGCGAAAGCTCTTCATTCTCAAGATCAAAGGATAGGTCGTCGCGATCCCCGCCAGCTGCGGCGTGGATCGCCAAACGGCGGTTCATGCGCTCGATCTTAGCAAATCTAACACCTGCTTCTAGAATCATCTTCTTGACTTCGGGCCTGGCCAGATACTGCCGTGTGTTGGTGCTAATATCGGCTAGCCGGTTCCATTCGTTCATACCAAACTCGCCCACGCCAACCTCGACGTTGAGCCGGAAATAATTGTCTTTTCTGACATTGCGTTTGGCAAGACGATCTCGAAGCATCTCATTGTGAATATCCTCGCAGCCCTCAATCTTCGTCATTAGTCGACGCCGCGCTTCAGCGAATGTACCAAATGAGTCGCCGAAGAAATCCTCCCACCATTCATGTTGTCGGTTGTTGGTACCAGCTGGGCGCTTTCCAGTTCCCACACTGACAAAAACCCCAACTTCACGACCTGGCCATTCATTTACAACAGCCTCATCAAGGATCAGCGGCGCGGGGTTGAATGTGCCATGACCCTCATCAATAAAATGGTGTTGACCAATCTGGATGGGTTTGAAAGCAAGCCCTGTCGCAGATGTCGCACGTCCTGCTTGCCAGACAGTGCAGTCGAATTCAGGTGGAGGTTCTCGGCGGGAGTCGTAGGACCGTAGAAGGACAGCCGATCCTTTGCGCGGGGTGCCCTTGTACATAGCAGTGACCGCACTATATTTCAAATCAGTACCAGCGACCCATATTTTCGCACCGTAGAACTCACGTTTTCGTCCGATTTTCTCGGTTATCATAAAGCAGGGCATCTGGATTACCCCAACGTAGCCCATTAAGAAAAACCGAGCCTCTTTGGCTTGTCGGAGACATTGGATGCGAAGCAGCGGCGGTGCTGAAACTACCCCGACTGATAGAGCGTTGTGGAATAGAGGCTGGGCTATATGGCAAGCTGGCCATAGAAGCCATAGATTCACGGTTGGGGGCATTTCCCGTATCATTTCCCTCTGCCTCGAATACTGTATGTTCCCGCACGCATTCCCGAATTGCTTCCTCGAGTTTCGAGGCCTTGAACAAAGTTGAGCGGTATGGGATACCAGCGATGGTCTTGTCCGTCTCGAATACTTTACGAGTCATGCGCACATATACTTCTTTGCACGTTTCGAGATCTAGGCGGAGGCGACCGAGCATCAGGGCGATCAAGCCGCCAGTGCCGGTACCGGCGATCAAGTCGAAGTGATCGCATGGTTTGGGAATTTGGTCGCGACGCGGAGGCTTGCCTTCGCATTCGACATAGGTGCGGTACATGAGTTCCTGCAGGAGAATAAGCATGGAGTATCCACGAACACCACCGCCATCTGTTCAGGTCAGCTGAGTCTGATATAGGCCGGAAGAGAGATGATACTAACCCAGAGACAGGATCCGCAGGGGGGGACCCTTGGTGGTGTCCTTGCGACGTAGATGGTCTGAATCCATGGCCATTGTAGCAGTTATGTTTTGGAACGATTACGATCGCTTTTTTTTTTCAGCTGCGGCAGCTTACCCGCGGCGGGGCTCAGCGATGCCTTATGCACCGGATCGCGGAATGGATAGCGCCTGACCGGTCAGGTCTTGGAAAGAGGTAGAAGCGTGACACAGGTGAAACACAAGTCGACTGCAGCTCTGGTTGGATGTGTGACAGGTCAACGTGAGATTGTTTTTGATGTGGACTCCAGATAGGCAGCGGTGAATGGGTGATCGGGAGGGCTTGAGCCACAGTCCCTGAATAGTTCGATAAGGCTGGACTTGAAATGTATATGTGCACAAGTCACAGAATACAAAAATGTCAAGATGAGACAACCCTGGAAAGTTGTTGCAAGTTATTCTTAGAAATCGAATCCAAGTCTTTCATTTGTCTTCTTTCCATGGATCAAGAAAGTCAGGTGATTACTGGGGGCAACTGGTGGCGGTGCCTATCTATGATGTAATTGTGGCTGTGTGTTTATCAAATTTCACTATCTAGTTTGATGCATAAAAATTGAGAAGTCAATACTATTTCATCGTGAATGGTCTCATAATCCAACTACAAGTAAAATTGTTCTATAAAAGCTTTACCCGAAATCCCTATGTAATTCCAACCTCCCACATGACGTCAAATTCCCCGAATATCTTGTCATATGTATCAAACAAATCTACATGCCCTTTTTCAATTCGTTAGGCTAGGCCAATCTAAAGAACCTAATTAGCACTCGCTCTATTCCCCAGGGAGGGAAGAAACACTTACCAAAGACAGACCTCTTAGTTCCTTTCTCAACAACCGCAACCTCATCCCCAACCCTCAGACTAATCCCCTCACCCTTCGGCTCCAAGAAAGCATACCTACCAAAAACAGGACTAAACTTCGCCCCGGAGTCCACCCTGCGATCCTTCATCAACTTCTTAAGTACAGCACCAGACTCACCAGTTCCCATCTTCCCAGTCTCGTAATCAACATTGAGGCTCTGACAGCGTACACAATTCCCCGTCAACAACAGCTTACTCGACCCACGGCCTAATTGAGCTCCCACAGTCAATGCACCCCAAAAGTCCTCTTCGAAAGCTTCCTCGGCCCCCGATATAACAATATTAGGCCGGAACTTCGTGCGGTCCATATCTTCTCCCTCCGGCAGCCGCGCTGAGACATTATCAACGGATGTCTCGGAGATAACAAGGTAAGGCGCGCAGTCCGCGAAGGTAATACGGTCCTCGTGTGGTGCGTGTAGGCTGCAAAAATAGATTAACACCAGCATCAGCACCGCCGCACTGGCAGTGAAAAGGATAGTGGTCGTGAGATTGTGAGCGGTTTGAGGAATTATCCCGTCGCGGACTAGAGTACCACCCTGAAGCAGTATGTTGATCGTAGATGCTACGATGATAATTGGGAGGATCCGTTCCCATTTCCTGTCGGGTCTTGTTATACTTTCAAGTATCGTGCGCAGCGCGGACTTTTTGTATTGCTTTGCTGGCCCGAGTGTGCCCAGAACCTCTCTTGAATTCGGTCCAAGGTAGACTAGCACTACCCGGTACCCGAAGCAAGCGCTAAACCAGTCGTTGTACTCAGTACCCATGTTGTATCCTGTCGTTGGGCTCTGGTGCATTACCACTTTGAGGGGTTTTAGGCTCTTTGTGTTGGGCTGGAGCGGGATTTCCAGTCGGGTTATTTCATTTTTAAGAGCTGATTTTGACAGAGGAGGGTTGTATGTGATAATCAATTTTCCGCTGTCCTTCTCTGTCTGCGGATATTCGATGTTGGTGTGGAAGAGCGCCATTTCTGGGAAGTCCGGGACATGCATGTTTTTTAGGGTCGAGGTACCGGAGCTATTCTCGACTTTGAGGAGCATGAAGTGGCGGTCATATTGAAAGCCCCGTGTGGTTAGGATACCCTCTGTGATTGTTGTAGGCCGGAGGGATTTAACCGGGTAGACATAGAGCTGACGGTTAAGTCAGTATTTTGTTTCCCGCCTTGTGATAATTTCATGTCCATACCTGGCTGACTTTCATGATAGTAGATGAAAATCCTGTAGATGAAAGAGAGAGGTGTATTGTACCTCGCAGTATGAAAGTCACATTAACAAGCCGATCTCGGCCCCGGGGAGGAGACAGATGACATCGCGTTCCCAGGTTTCCCGAATTAGGCTTTGCCGAGTAAAACCCTCCAATTCATTAGATGCACGATACTGTCTAGATGAAATCCAATTCTTTTTTCTTCTAGTCTTAAATAAAAAGGTCTTCAATCATATTCGTTTCGAAATCATGCAAGGAAATATACAGAGGGAATCAAAAAAAAAAAAAAAGGAAACATCTACTGGTCCTCAGCCCATGGCAAGCTAAAGGTACCAACCCAGTCCTCGACCTCTTGGCGGAGCACTACAATTTCCGAGATCTCCTCACCCTCACCCACGTACTCCAAGAAGGCCTTGACAGTATTCGGGTTCTTGACACCACGCGACTGAGCCGACTCACGGGCGGCCTTGTCCAGCTTTTGTGTGATGGTGACCGCACGATCGACGATATCGGCGACGCGGGTGAAGTCCTCGGGCTGGAAGCCACGGGAGGTCATGGCTGGTGTTCCCAGACGCAGACCGCCAGGCTTGAGTGCGGACTTGTCACCGGGCACGGTGTTCTTGTTGCTGGCGACACCGCACAGCTCGAGAACGCGCTCAACGCGGGCACCGTCCAGGCCTCGGTTCTTCAGATCCACTAGCACCAGGTGGTTATCGGTGCCACCGGACACAATGTTGTAGCCGAGTCCACCGTTGCTGGTGGAATCACCTAGGCGCCGGGCTAGAGCAGAGGCGTTAAGAAGCACTGTCTTCTGGTAAGCCTCGAAGTCGGGCGTCTGAGCCTGCTTGAGGGCCACGGCCAGCGCGGTGATAGTGTGGTTGTGAGGGCCACCCTGGTGGCCGGGGAAGACAGATGCGTTGATGGGGTTCTCGAGATCGTACATGATGGGATTGCCCTTCTTGTCAGTGCTGCGCACACCCTTGCGGTAGAAGATCATGGCGCCACGCGGGCCACGCAGAGACTTGTGTGTGGTGGTGGTCACGACATCTGAGTAGGGGAAGGGAGATGGAAGCACGTCGGCAGCCACAAGACCCGAGATGTGGGCCATATCGGACAGCAAGTAGGCGCCCACGGAGTCGGCAATCGCGCGCATACGTGGGTAATCAATCAGACGGCTGTAGGCCGAGGTACCCGCGATAATCAGCTTGGGCCGGTATAGGGTGGCCGACTTCTCCAATGCATCGTAGTCGATCAGGCCAGTCGACTCATCAAGGCGGTATGGCAAAGTCTCGAAGTATTTAGAGATAGCGGAAATCTTCTTGGTAGGTGTCTGATAACCGTGGGACAGGTGGCCACCGTGGGGAAGGTCCAAGCCCATTAGGCGGTCGTGGGTGTTGAGGAGGGCAGAATAGGCCATGAGGTTAGCGGGTGAGCCGGACAGAGCTGAAGTGAGTTAGCTTCACATAATATCATGGCAACACGTCGACTGTATCATACGTTGGACATTAACTCCCCATTCCTCCGGGTTCAAACGGAAGGTCTCTAGGGCACGCTGCTGGCATAACCGCTCGGAGGCATCAATGTGTTCATTTCCTCCATAGTAACGTGCACCCGGGTATCCCTCGGAATATTTATCTGAATTGCGGTTAGGACGGTCTGTTGAGCAAACAGAGGCGGGAACCCGGAGTACATACTTTGCATGACACTACCAAGGGCATCAAGAACAGCTTGGGATGTAAAGTTCTCAGAGGGGATCAGGTTAATGAAGTGCTTTTGACGTTTTTTCTCCTTGGAATGGTTTTAGCAGCTGGTCCGTCAATTGGTGAGCTCGCTATTAGCGATGACGCACCTTCTGCAGGATATTATAAACGGCGGGGTCGGACTCTTCTAGAGAGGCGGCGAGCAACTATCAAATTGTCAGTTTGTATGTTTCGCTTGCCATTGAATCCATTCGGGTCACCAACCTTGTGCTGCGTATCACGGGTGGACGACGCTACTCCCCGCGATTGGGCCAATCTGGGCACGATAAAGGCGCGAGCGGAGACAACGGCTGCCCGGGAGCTCCCAAGGGGGAGCAAGCGAGCAGCAGATCTACCACAGCGAGACAAATACATGATGAAGCTGAAGAATTTGAATTCTCAAGCAAGGTATTATGTACTTAGCCGATAGGAAAGTGACGGCTTTTAAACTGATGCTTGTCGGATGAGCAAATGGCACCTTTCCGTTGCCCGCGGAAAGCGGGAAAAATGCACTATTCCCATTTTAGCTCTCCGCCTGGTCCGTGCGCCAGCTATTCATTTATCTTCGCTCGGCAAAATTTTTCCCTCCTTTTCTTCTTCACACAACTAAATCCAAGATGAAGAAACGGCGTTCTAATCTGTCTCAGCACTCGTCGGTGACGGACTGGACTTCGGTCTAGCTGGCGCTGGACGGGCGCTGCTGAAATGTCCCACGCCTCTTAACCATCCTTTGAGGGACAAGTACCATCGGATTGGAATTGTTGTGTTGGTTCACCTACAAGGTCGGGATTGGTCTGCTGTGTCAGATCCACATCTTTATGAACCCCTTTTGGCAACAGTTCCCTTGCCGCGTTGTCGATACTCTAGTACAACGAGGACACACGATTCTCGGAGAATCGTGTGTCCGAGTGACTCTCGAGTACAATTAGTTCCACTGTCTATAATCACTACTGTTAGTCTTATGATTTGATCCTATCCATAGTTCTGCCTCGTGTTTCCCTCGTACGCACTTTACACTCCCAAGATAGGATACGCTCAGACCAACTACGTTGTCTAGCAAGGGGTGATGGCTTAATGAACGCACGTGAGCCGTGTACTCTGTATATACTGTTGCATTGCAGGGGATAGTCATTGCAATGAAGATCACCAATCCAACATTTTATACGGAGTACTCCGTACACAATTCCATATCCTATATATAGTCCCGGTGACAAATAGATCCCGGTCGCTCTAGATTCCGACGCACTTTTGAAGATGCCGGGACTTTTGGTTGACTAGAAAGTGTATGGGTTGGCTACCCTGGTATCCACCAGGCAGTCCTAGTCGAGGATTTATCATATCACGTCGTCCGGCAAGCGGCCAGAGCCATGGATGTCTAACTCGGCGGCCGGATCGCGGGCTGTATCTCGGGACTCCTTGTTTTCAAGCAGGAACCGAGCTATACCGATAGATGTTGCCTCGATTGCTTTGCGTAGAGTATTCTGGCGGTCAGCAAGGTCGATTCAAGAACACGGCCATTCTCTACAGGTTTGGTGATACCAAGTGTCCTGCCCGCGCTGCTTGTTTCGGAATCATTTTTAAATGTTGAAGGATCAGTAAACGGCCCATGACTAAGTAATCATTGAAGATTGCCTCAGAGCCCACGCAGGTGGCCTCCCCAACCAGATTGATACAGTCATAATTCCAAGTTTCGCCTCAGTGTCACTGTATGCAACCCTATTCGGATCAATATCATGCCCGGGCATCTTATTGATAGAGTGTTCAAAAGCAGATATAGCATTCTGCATGTTTGGATAAAGAAGTGAAGAGACTCCAGGTTAAAGGAGAAAACACATTCTCGTAAATTAGGTACTCTCAGGTGAAGGCTCTAGGCCTCGGGAGAGAGTAGAAAAGTCCGATAACCCGTGGAATTCAGGTCCACGGGTAGATAGACGTAGTAGGCAAATGTAGCTAAATGTAGCCGAAGCGGTCAACGGGTCCCGTACCCCAGGTACGCCGGTACGTATCGTAGAGATACAGTTCTTTATGGACAATATGTTTCAACCCTGGATCGTTGGTACTACGAAGTATTTTAGACTTGAATATTTGAAAATGTACTCCATCCTCCGTACAACATACAACATAGGGATATATAAGATATTAAAAAATATATATATATCAAAGTCGATCAAAGAACCCAGAACTACAATGGCCAATGCCCAGAGAAATTGAACCAACCCTAGCGGTCCATTAGTACCTAATTGGGAAAAGATCCACAGAGCCACGCACCTCGAACCGGTTCCTGAGGACGTGTGTTTTAAGGAAAAGGTGGGTGTTAAAGGAGAAGTGACTTTGATGTTAATAGTAATTTAGCTATAACCTTAAGTACCTCTAGTTATGTCAATTTGTTTACTTTTTTTTCCAAGTTTTTATTGCCACTCTCTTGTCTACCCCTTTTCCCGTTTTTTTTTTTTTTTGGGGCGCTGGGCCCTGAGTGGCACGGGTACCTGAATCTCATTTAATTTACCATTATAAACACCCATTCCCCCCCCTTCTTCTCTCTTCACCCACGCTTACATTCTTTCAAATCCCCGGTTTTTCAACCGATTACATTCTTTTATAAATCCCCATTCATTCTTCTGCATATAACCTTATATATCTGAACCTTTTTTTTGGGACCATTCCAGTCAACTCTATCACAATGCGTTTCTCTATTGCCGCTCTCGCTCTTGCCGCCGGTGCCATGGCCAATGTTGTCACCGAGACCCTCACCGAGTACACCACCTACTGCCCTGAGGCCACCTCCATTGTGCACGGAAGCCACACCTACAGCATCTCCACCGTATGTGTCGTTTAATAAAATCCACCGTTGCGAATATTAACACCATTCTAGCCCGGTGTCATCACCATGTCCCACGGTCCCTACACCGTCACCCGTCCCCTTGTGACCTCCACCGTGACTGAGTGCAAGAGCTGGTAAGAATTTCTCGCTATCCAGTTCAATGAGTCCAATCTAACATTCTCAGCTCTTCCTCCATTCCTGCCTCCTCCACTCCCGTGGCCAGCAGCACTCCCCTCATCTCGGTCCCCGGTGTCACCTCCACCCCTCTGATCCCTGGCACCGCTTCCACCGGTGTTCCCAGCGCTCCTAGCGGACCCTCCACCGCTACCCCCTCCCAGCCCGCCTTCAACGCCGGTGCCATCAACGCCGCTACCGGTGCTGGTGCCGGTCTGGTTGCTGTCTTCGGTGCCGTTGCCCTCCTGCTGTAAAGCGGTTGAGTGTGTCAATAGGGCTATGAAGAGATACCATTGTGGTTGATGTTATCGCTTTGATGATATACGCACAATGCTATCGGGTGTTTGGCTACGGTTCTTCGGGTGTATATGTTTTGTCTACGTCTTAGATAATACATAATGAGCCCTCTTGGGTTAAATTTTTCATGTCTGCCTTTCTTGTGGAGCTTATATTCTGTTGGTTTTTGCGCATTATTCTCCTGGACATAACGCTTTTTATTATATTCACATCTGACTTCGATCAAGAATGATCTTTTACTTTCTACTTTTGCTTTGGACTCCAAATTCTCTACTTATATTTGTTTTTAACGTAGAGCTATCCATAGATACATGTTATTATCAACTGAGGTGCATTTTACGTGACATCGACTATCACTACTATTCTCACGCCAATGGAATCTTGATTAGGGCATAGGCATCTGATACTTGCCAAGGTTGATGTTGTAATGTCGCTAGGCTTTCCAGTTATTTGTCCTTCTCAATTGCTCTCGTTTGCCGTTTGTCGTTCACAGTTATGCACATCTATAAATTGATGCCACTCTGTCTGCACGACTACTCATCATCCCTCTCCATCTCTGTATCTTCCATCATCATCCTCTCTCCCAGTAGGAGACTTTGACCACTTTAGTTCATCATCAACCTGACGAAAAGGATGTCAGCTATTCTACAGGAAAACATCCAGGCTCCGCCCAGCCTCAAAGATCCCACCCATGCTAAACAGGTAAAGGTCTAGTTTTGCGGCTTATGTCAATTAATTACATCATGAGTCCGATGGCCTTGATACTACAACCACACTTGGGCAGCTTGTGCATGATGACAACGATGCTGATATACGTATGCGCTGTAGGATCTCCTCGACAGCAGCTCCTCTGAGTCGATTGCAACTCCTGCAACTAAAAAGCGCAAGAGGGGAGATAGATCTAGGGCCAAACACGCGAGGATGAGTTCCCCAATGGAGAGCCTGTCTCCGGGATCAATTCACTCCATGACACCGCAGACCTCCAAGTCTTCACGCAAGGCCGGGCACAAGTCCTCGCACAAGAAAGAGTTAAAGAGAGATAAAAGTGCGAGCAAGTCCAATATGTCGCTCGAAACTATACGATCCACACCTCCGGGGTCTACTTTACGCGAACTCACGCCCAAGTCTTCATCGGACCAGAAGCCTATGACGGACGCCGTTTCTACCAAGCCCATGAACCCCTTTGAACTACCGGACCTCCCGGGCCCAGAGTTCATTGTCCCTCGCGAGTTGGGGTTGGGTATATTTGACTGCTCGTCCGAGAAGGAGACTTCATACGAGCCAGTCTCCGAATACCCGATGCAGCACAACGAAGTTCCCACTCCATACACCCCGGGTCTACACGCGGTATCGCAGTACAATGAGCGCATCTGGAGCCAGTGTGAGAGCGCGAGTGACACCTTGTTGGCGCGCCAGATGTACGATGAGCTGTATGATATCTCGACTCGCATTGAAGATATTATGCGTGGGATTAGGGTAATGCTGGAGAATAAGGGGGCGATGGATGATTGTCATGAATATGATGGTTTTGGATGTCATTTTGATGGTTATGATTTTGAGCCTGAGTTCGCTGATGGGTTCATGGATGGTCCTGAGAACCCCTTCGAATTGAGCGATGGGGAAGGCAATGCACTTTTTGTGAGCTCTGATGAACGCACTTGCCCTGGTGATTCTGGTGGCGTACCTGAGGATGAATAGATGTACCTGTTTACCTTTTTCATTTTTTTTTACTTAACTACGATAGCTTGCTACACACATTGCAACATTTTTTTTTACTCATTGGCTTTCTCTATTGATTGTATTGGCTTTATTGGTCGGAGTCATAGGTTCATTTTCAATTCCAAAAGAATCAGATAATTTTTATCAGGAAAATCGGGTTTCCCTCTAAGCGAGGTGAAGCTCAGAGTGATAGCCCTGAAAGTCATGTTCATTTTCAACTCACATCTCATGAAAAGTATCTCATAACATAGCTCATTTACATACGCCTCAAAAAAGGGGCATAGTAACCCGGTTTGTATAATCAACATTCTCTTTCACGCTTTCGATGCGCTCATGGCAAGTGCCAAAAATCCTGTCCCAAAGACGAGTCTGCTTGCCATAGTTGTGGCTCTTTCTCCATCCATAGCGGTGATGTAGGTCATGATCTTCAATCACCAACTCAGCATCAAATATTTCCAGCAGCCAATTCACAGTAGAAGGTGCACCGCCATGAAGTCGAAGCCCACTATGACCAATGAACTCCGAGAACGCAATATATTGAAGGCAAATCCACCATCCGTAAAAACCCATTGGCAGCCCAATAATCTTCAACGTAGTATACGCAAGAAGTGGAATACCCGTAATATCCATAAATTCCTGCTCATGGTCGGCGTATGCAGAAAGCAAAGGGTTAGGATGCTTCGTCAGATGGTGCCTACGGTGGAACTTCCACAGAGGGCCCACCGAGTGCATCATACGGTGATACCAATAGAACCAGAAGTCGACTGTGATACTGTACAAGCCGATCTCTAAAGGGATCCACTTCCATTCCAGTGATGCCGGTGTCTCCCCTACCCGGAAGGTGAGAAATACAGCCATCACCATGCGCAGCGTTGAGGTAGATATAAGTTCTCGTATCGCCTTGCCAACCCCAACATCTGGGATCTCATCCCGAGGATGCTTGTCGCCATCCAAGAAGCCATAGACTTGACCTAGGCGGCGCATGATGTGCATTTCGTGGATGCCATTCAGTTTGAACGCACTAGAATACAACGCAAATGCGGCAATCGGATGCATGTTCAGGCCAGTGTATGCTGTGTAGACGTGGTGTAGTGCAAGTGGGATCGCGGCGTGTAGTAGAATCCACAAGTGGACGGTCCATTCTCGTATGGTAGGTATTTTATCTTTCTTGGAAAAGACTGGAACTTCGGCATCAAAGTCGATGAGATGCAAGCCAAGGAGCTCAATCATCCAGTGCGAGGAATTCCATTGAGATCGGTCATGGCGCCAGGTAGACACCATAGAGTCTGCCGGATTGCGCTTTATGGTTTGGGTAGACATACTTGGGCTTGGATTTGACCGATATACAAGATACTGAGCTATAGGCAGGTTTATACATTCTTATATACTTATACTGTTCAAACTTGGTATAGCCATGTGAAGTCATGATCGACAGACACAATCCTCAAATAGGGGACTTTGCCAGAACTCTATAATATTTTGAACAAATCATGATACATCCAGGGATTAGAAAGCCCTAAAAAAGAATGGAGTGCGAGGAGCTAAGGTCTTATAGCGCGGGGCAGTCTACCTCGGCCCCCGGATATGGAGAAGGGCAGTTCTTTTATCCGAGAATATGTCATTTTCTTGTTTAGACCGCTGATCTTGATTAATGCCCTATTGCAGGCCATTCTACCCAATATTTCCGTCAAATTTTACGTACTCGGGAAACTGCGGATGGTACATATAAAGAACTTTTTGGCATTTGTCTACCTCAAGCCAGAATTCTATCAGCGCTATCATTGTCCCTGCGGTATACATGTGTGCGTTCTTCATCAATTTTGAACGATTGGTGGATTATAGCTTAACTCAAATATACTAGAGACTTACAGTTGACTATAGTCACAAAATAGACCAGTGAAACGCCATAGGAAATCGTGATAATGACTATCGAGGTATAAGTGTCTAGCAGTGTCTCAAAGAGATTTGTCTCATACCTAAATTTATCTCGATCATCTTGGTCAGCTTGAAAGCCTGAAAATAGTGAAGAGCAAGGAAAATTGTGGCTATGAGATAAGTGATTCCAAGGACGATGACAGTCCCTGTTTGTAACGAGTTATACGGCTCGTGGAAATGCGATTCCTGGCCATCTGACAGCGGCATTCCTGGGGTAGTAGCCAGATCCATTGTATCTTATTGCGGATTTAAATCCATATTGACCTAGGATTTACTTCTATATTGTATCATTCCCTAAGTGTCATCATGCAAATGGCGAAGATCCCTCGAAGGTGTTCTTAACCGAGAATGACGTTCTGACGGCCTGGATCTTACGCTGTATGGGCGGCGAGATAGGGATAAGCCCAGAACGATTTGTAAGTCCTGATGTGTGTACCCTGTTAAATGGGTTACTAACACCGCTTTCTCTTTAGGTAGCTGCATCAATCGCTATGTCGCTCCGCAGTTCTTTTGAAGGTGACCTCTTGCCTGCCTCAACTAAGCATCCATACATTGGTAACGCGTTCGGCTGGGCCAATGTACTTGTTACCGCTGGCGAGGTAAATTCCAAGCCGCTCAGCTGGCTTGCACGGCGGGTCCGTCGCGCCATTAACGAGCAAGGTACATGTGCTCAACACGGGGCGTACTACGCCAAGATTCGCACTTCCGGAACTAGTCTGCCTATAAGTGTATTTGGGGATGGTGGCATGGCCCAAGTTGGCTTCTCCAACTGGTCAAAAGCTGGCTTGTTCAATTTGGACTTTTCCCCGGCTCGTCAGGGCCCCAGAAATGACAGTCTGCCCTGCAGGTCATCATATGTTCAGGAAAATCATGGCCCTGTGAAACCTGCACATGGTTTCTTTATCCTCGAGAAGGATGAGAAGGGGAGTTACGGTCACATGAAATAACTTTGTTGATTGTCTTGAAGGGTTATCGCTCACAGGATCCCGGCAACTGCCACCACGATCGATAGTGAGATTTCAGGATGGTCGAAAAATTATTGAAATTACTGATGCGCAGGCTCTTCCCGAAGACCCTGTTTCTGAATCTCCCCTTCAGGAATCAGGAGTTTGAATCGGATGATCTTCTCCTCTGGTCTCTGCTTTTGTTTTGCTTTATTTTCTGGAGTTGGGGGATTTTCTGGGCATATCAACACGAATTCGAACAGGGAGACAAAGTTGTTTCCATTAGTACAGAATGAAGTGTGTCATGACCTCTTCTTATTATTTCTTTCAGGGCTGCAAAGCTTACATTTTACCTGTAGATATCCCGTTCTCACTGTGATGTTTTGGAAGGATCAATAGAAACAACGTAACCGATCCCACAATCTTTTTACCAAGGGTCTGTAATTTTCGTAAAAGAAATAGTACTTAGTTCTTTAATTGGATTATTCCAACAAGATATCAAAAAGTTAGTAAGGGCCAATTATGTACAGACTATGTACAGAGCCTATCTAGAACAGTACACAAGCTGTAAGCAAGCTGCTTTTTTGTAAAAAGTGACAATATTATTTTAATATCTAAAGCCATTACTTCTTTTTTACGCCATATAAGCAGAGTCACCTGCCAGGTGGACATAATATATGGAGTTATTCTGCTGGCATAATATTATGTAATCTATGGGGCTAGCCCTGGAGCATTGATTTGAGCTATCATTCCTAAATACTTAAAATTTTGTAGATAGGGCGGCTGGCCTAATGGTAAGGCGTCTGATTTCGGCTGAGCTATGCTCAATAAGTTCTCAGAAGACTGCAGGTTCGATCCCTGCGTCGCTCATCTTTTTTTTCGATCAAGGTGGGATTTTGATCCGTAGGAGCTAAGATTCTTATAGTTAGACTAACTATGTAATAACTAAAGTAGTAAGTAACCCTTAAGGCATTATCAACGGCCAGCTATCCGGCCCAACGCACGGGATTAAGGGGCAAAAGCGAAGGGTCGAATACCTAGTACCTAACCTTGGAACTCATTCAACCATGTTTTAAACCTGGGTGCTGATTGGCTGCCGAAAAATATAAGTCGGTTTACCGCTTACGGGTAGCTCTTTTCTGCCACCCCACTCACTCCTTTTCTTATTCTTCTTTAGTTCCTTTTTCTTATTGAGCTTTTTTCGTCTATTCCGCTTTATATTTTAATATAATAATATAATAAATACTTTATCTATTTATACTCTGCTGATTTTCATATATCTATCTATAACTTTACGTAGCTAAGCTATAATAATTTATATTTTTCTTTCCGCCGCCCATGTGCCTACCGCGTCGATATAATAGAGCAGAGCGCTAGCGGCGTTCTATAAGAGCGTACGTAGGCCGCGTGCGGACTTCTCGCCTTTGTCTTAATGTAATAAACAAACTGGCTAAACCTCTGATGCCCTTTTCTCTCTTTTCTTTACCCAAAGGCCGGCCCTAGCTACTTGTATTGTGTGTGTATATATATATACTGGCTTGGGCAGATGTTTTTTTTTATGTATAAGTCAATGGTCAATGCGAGATTGAGAGTTGAGGACTTGGAAAAATTCAATGACACAGGAACTAGTTGGAATCCAAGTTACCCAACAGACAAACGAGATTCTGACTTACTTGTTCTCTCGTACGGAGTACACGACTTGAGATCAGCCAGGTCAACTGGGTTGCCTCGACAGATACAGCTAGCTAGTGGCAAAGATTCGGGGAAAAAAAAGGACTGAATGAAGAGATTTATGACGTTGTTAAAAAATGGGATGAAAGAAGGAAGATTAATAGGTTTGAACCAGAAGTGGAATATTAATTTGTTTGATCTAGTCTAGCGCTGTCAACTACTATTGTATAGGAACTTTGACACGAAAGCGGTGTGTAAAATTGGAAGGCGGCGTGGAACGCGGTCAAGCAGAGGAGCGGGTTCCAGCTCGGGGATATGTACTCGAAAAAACCTCCGACGTAACCGCCAAGCCACTCTGAAAGCGGTCAACATAATCATCATATCACTTCCTAATCAGTCGCAGCCGTATGTATTAAACTTGTAAGGTATCACCGATCATGCATTCAATGTTTCCCTATAGCTCTGTAGACTCTAAACTTTCTGCTATTACCATAAATGTTAAATTCTTACACGAAATATAGCATTTCCCGAAGTCAATCTCTTATATACAACCCTAGACCGTGTAAAATCTAGTTTCTATAGTCTAATTAGGGCAATTTCAAAGACCAGGGCGTCAACATATATCATTGATCTGTATATAATTGTAACGACGTGCATAAAATACGGCAGAAATCATAACGCTAGTAGACCCACTGTGGAGGTGGGTGAATCTTTCTAGGGTAGACTTGTAAGCCCGATCAGTCAAGTCACTATGTAGATGGCAGCTATAATGACTAAATAAACTAAATGATCAAATTATACTGGCCCTGTTCAAATAATACAGGGCGGCTGGCCTAATGGTAAGGCGTCTGATTTCGGCTGAGCTATGTATGCTCAATAAGGTCTCAGAAGACTGCAGGTTCGATCCCTGCGTCGCTCATTATTTTCTTTTTTAATTCCTATATATATATATGGTCTTTGCGGAGTGAAGTATATTATATATATACCAGTAGTAATTAGGACTAGTGTATTGAATACAACATATTCATTCTGCCGGGTGGGATATTCTGCCAGTCCTCAGCGAACAATTCTCACCGCATAGGTTCTATGGATTTGAGACCTTTGAGAGAGTCTAGTCACGATAGTCTCAAAATCAGAATTCATTGTGAATGGATACTATTAGAAGAAATAAGAGAGAGAAATGGATATTTTGTTTGACTAGCGGTCGGTCAGCAGTATAGTATACCTAGAAGGGACTGCAAAGATCGACAGTAACATGCATGTTGGATCTTTCAGATGTCACATTAATGCGCAAGCACCAGTGATACGTCCAGTTTAGGACATTATGGCCAATTACAATAGCCAAAGACTAAGTATGAATTTTCCTTTTAACACCATTAAGGTACTCCGTAGTCCTCAATGAGATCATAAAGATCTTCGTTCAACCTATGAGTCAACATTCGTGACTTATACTGCTTTAATCTTCCAATCTTGACCCAGTTTTGTTATTTCGCCTCTTTCTAATTCAAAAAATTCCTAGAAATAACAATATAGTATGTTAGGTTGGAACAGGGAAACTAGCATGTACACGCTATTACAATACTTATATCTCTTATACTTTCATTTATTAAGGATTCTTGAATTCATCTGTAGCAAGATAATATAGCCTAAGCCAAGTGTAGTCAAATAAACGCCTTATTGTATACCTAAATCAAAGTCAACAAAATAGTCCACAAGCACCAGCAGTCAAAGTACCAAATACACCAACAGGCGCCATGCCCTGAGCATAACCCAAAGCAAGCATCCCAGTAGTAACCCCAGTACAGCCAACATCACAAAACCAACTTGCTTTACACTTGACCTCAAAAGAAAGCTGCGACTGGATGGAATTGTCATGAGTAATAACAATCTGTCCACTCCTTGGATATTTATACCCAATCCAATACGTGGGAACTCCCCACTGCTGTGAGTACGTAGTCTGCTCATACCAAGACTTTGAAACCTGAGGACCAGCAGTACCATGCAAGAACTTAGCGACAGCGTCGCTACGAAACTTTGCATCGTTCTCCGTCCCGGCAAACATACAATTGTAAGATATGGTGCAGGAGTCAGAAATAGCAAAATCTGTTTTCTTGCATCCATTTCCCTCAATGGCATCATAAACGCTATGAAAGGCATCACTCGGGTTCATAAGTCTCAGTTGAGCCTTATACAAATTGGAATCGTCCACGTAGATTGCATCGGACGAGAGCGTTAGTGACGATGTCGTCTTCCCAGCTGGAGGAGCCGGCGCCGGAGCCGGTGCTGGAGCAGGACCCGGTCGAGTCTGGGTTTTGTGATCGCAGATATAGGCAGAAGCACATTCCGTGCCATCGTCGAGAATGTAGATACCGCGTTCGTGGTGACCGCGACATGAAAATCCATGAGGTTCAAAGGTGTGCCCCGCCATTCCGGCGAGTCTATCGTTTGAATCAGGGATTGCTGGGTTGATTGCGATGGTGAATTCGTCGCCATTGGGCATCTTGCGCTTCAGTCCCGTTGCTCGCCAGGGATAGGACCCATCCCAAGGGACATCAGTCATCATATCTGGAGTGACCCATTTCCCTCGTGTTCCTTGGAATGCCCATGGTGCATCGTGGTAATACATAATTTGGCGCGAGGTGGAATCGCCATTTGGCGGGTGGATACCGCAGTCTGCTAGGACGACGCGCTCTTCTGGGCGATATTCGGCCAGGGTAAAGGAGGCAAGAATGGTGATGAGAGTAATTATATGCATGTTGTAAACTAATTTTGAATGCTTGTGATATAGAAATTAGATGGCTATTGTTAAGATATTTATATAGGCAGCTCGGCATATTGAGAAACGAGCTGAACCATGCTGAGCTGCAGTCAGCGTCGAGCAGTTTGCAAATATCAAAGAATTAGGGTTATCGGCATCACCGAGGGAAATTATAAGCTAGCCTTCATGGCCAAATACTGGAATAAAAGACGAATTAACCTTCCACCTGCAAGCCCTATGGAATGGACGTATCAGCTCAGCTCGGAGACCCCGGACCTATACGGCCTTTCTGCATATTTGCTGCGGGTTGACATAACCGAGTAGATAATTTTTAATTCATTACAGCTCTGAGATTTTCTTGGGGGTGAATGGAATGCCCAGAAAATAAAACAACCCAGAAAATAAAACGTTTCGCCTGTATCTTGTTTGACTTTATATCCCTGAAATGAAAAAAAAAAAAAAAAAAAGACTTGGTAAGCGTGATGCTCCCACTTCAATTTGATATATCTGTTTCAACCCGAAATTTTCATTATCACAGATACTATATATATATGTATCTATGTATCTAAAGCTTCGTCTTCCCAACCCCATTTGACTTCTTCTTCTCAAAATACTCCTTAACCCTCTCCCTCGCAACAGAGACGACCTCCGCATCCTCAACAGTAGGTGGCACATTAACCTCTGCTCCATACTCCCCCTTTACCCCAAGCTCAACAAGCTCTCTAAGAACACGCCTAAGCGTCTTCCCACTCCGCGTCTTAGGAATCATCCCTCGGCCCTGTATAATCCCACCTAGCGACGCAATAGCCCCGATCTGCTCACGGACCAACGTATTAACTTCGGCAAATAACCGCGGACTCGGCGTTGCCGGAAGAGGTCCAGATTCTCCAGGGATGACGCCGGCTTTGGGCTGGATGAATGCGAAGGGAAGGTGGCCTTTAAGCGGGTCAGGGATGCCGACGACGCTTGCTTCGCTGATCGATGGATGCGAGAGGATGGCTTGTTCAATGGTTCCTGCAGAGAGGAGTTAGATCGTGACGTTGGAAAGCAAAAAAAAAAAAAAAAAAAAAAAAAGGATGTTCTTACCGGTACTGAACCGATGGGCGGCAACATTAATGATATCGTCACTCCGCGACATAACATGCACGTATCCATCCTTATCAATCATACCAGCATCCCCAGTATCAATCCAGCGGCCATTAAAACGCTTAAGATATCCACGGTAAAACCGCTCCTCGTCCTCGAAGAGGGTCGTGAATGCTGACGGGGCGAGTGGTGGTGCCATAACAATATTACCCATTGTGCCACGCGCGACTTCATTGCCTTCGTCATTGACAATGCGGACGTCAAATCCAGGCATGGGGAAGCCTGCTGCGCCGGGGCGGGGCGTGAGGGGCAAATGATCTGGCCCGGATGCCAGACCAGCAATGGCAGCACTCCCATTCAACGCAACACCCGTAATCGGGGATCCGGATTCAGATGACCACCAGTTGTCAATAACAAGCGCACCATCCGCTGCATATTTACCAAGCAGATCTTGGTATGAGTGGACAATACTCGGCTCGCTGCGCTCACCGGCAAGGAAAAGCGCACGGAGAGATTTCAATCCTCCACGCTTCCCGACCTCGCCAATAAGCTGGTCATGTGGGTCATCTTTCCGGATAGCTCGCATGGCAGTTGGTGCCGTAAAGAGCGCATTTACATTGTGTTTTTCGACAATGCGCCAGAATGTCCCTGCGTCCGGCGTTCCGACGGGCTTGCCTTCAAACAGCACGGTCGTAGCGCCGACTAGCAGCGGCGCATAGAGGATATATGAGTGTCCGACGACCCAGCCTAAGTCTGATGCGCAGAACATCGTATCACCGGGACCTTTTATCCCGAAGAGGGATTTTATGGATAGTTCCAGACCCACGGCGTGCCCGCCAGCTTCGCGGAGGACGCCTTTGGGGAGGCCAGTTGTTCCTATGAAAACATGTGAGTATGAACAGTACATGTCTCTCGGGAACTGGATTCACGTCTGAGATCTACTCACCACTTGTATAAATGATATAAAGGGCATCTGTACTCTTAACGGGGACAGGTCCAGCCTTGACTCCACGGAATCGTGCGCTCTTAACAAGTCTCTGCCAATTCCGCTGCCCCCCACGCTTATCGGGCTGATTCCAGCGCAATTGATCACGTTGCCAGACAATGATCCTACTCGGCTTGAAGCTGCTTGCATTGACGGCATCCTCGACGAGCGGTCGATAAGAAATAGCCCCCTTAGATCCCTCTATTCCACACGATGCTGTCATTATAGCTCTCGGGCGCGCGGCCTCGATACGCTGTGCTAGAGCTTGCGGGGCGAAGCCGCCAAAGACAGCGGCGTGGATTGCCCCTAAGCGGGTTATTGCCAGCGCGGCTATTAAGGCCGCAGGAATCATGGGCACTAGATGTGGTAAGTGATCAGCTTTGGGTGCTTCTAATTACTCAATGAAGTGCATACTGTAAATAATAACAACGTCGCCCTTCTGTATACCTTCCTCCCTAAGTACACCGGCAAGAACCTCAACCTCATCGAGTAGGCGGGCATAAGTATACTTCTCCGTTACACCGGTAACTGGTGATTCCCATACAATTGCAACATTGTCGCCATGGCCTGCGAGTACATGACGGTCTACACAATTGTAGGTTGTGGAGATCTCACCATCGGCGAACCACGACCAGTGTTCATGCTCGGTTCCACTTAGGGACTTTGTCTGCCGAGTTAGGGCACGTGAAGGTTTGCGGTGCCAGTGGAGTCTGGTCGCGTGATAGGACCAGAAGGTTTCTGGGTCAGTAAGGGAATGTGAGTGGGTAGTTAATTGATGGGACATGATAGAGAGTCAGATTCAAAGAAAAAGTTATAGAAGAAGCTAGCAAAGAGGTCAAATAAGCGTTTCTACCCGAGGTCTATACAACATACGGAGAGATGGAAAAGGAATTGCGGGGGAATAGGAGGAAAGAGGATCGGATGCAGCCGAGGTGAGTCTGTGCTTCTTTTTTTTTTTTCCTCCCCGCACTTTTTCTTTTAGGTACTCAACTTCAATGTTATACTCATACTAGGTAATAGTACAGTTCTGTCTTGTAAAAACCCCTTTATTGTCTATATCGCATAAATGGCTGAAAAATGAATCAAATAAAAACAAGCTCAGTCGTAGGGTATCATATCGAAATGCCTGCTAATGCGCGACTGCGATCTTCTGGCTTCTGGAAAATTTTTGGTTTCTTTCGTCCAAGACGTGTCCGAAAGATTCCGATCGCCACTTATCAAAGTAGAGATCGAAGAGAGACTATCAAGGGGAAGAAAAAGAAAAAAAAAAGAGTAAGGGGAGGTTGGGAAAATCTAGACAGCCAGTCTGCATGCCTTGGCGCATTTCCAAATAGCAAAACCAAAGCAAAAAAAAAAAAGAAAAAAAAAAAGAGATTTGCGCTCAAAGCCTGGCAGATACTGGCCTTCTCCCACGCCAGTTCTCAAGCTCTTCAAAATGCGAGCGTAAAAGATGTAGCATGGTAGGGACCACCGACGCCGAACGAGGTAACCAAAAGACAGAACCCTCCAGATGCACCCGGGACCAAAAGGAAGAGAAGAGAGAAGAAAAGGAAACAGCCATTATTTCAGTGAGCAACAAATTCAACTCCCGGACGGACCCGGCCGATCACAAGAGAGTACAGAGACGACTGCGATGTCGAGACCGGTCAGGACGGAAGGACTTGGGATATTCGGGGCCTGCGTCGCGATCGCGGTGGCCCGATCCAAAGCCTGTCGGACGACGGTCTCCGCCACGTCCACCTGTCATCTGTTGTCGCTGTTGGCGTAGCATGCGGACAACGTCATAAAAGGCCTTCTCCACGTTGATACAGTTCTTGGCGGAGGCTTCAACAAATTCACATCCCAGCTCCTTGGCCAATGCTTGGCCTTCCTGTGCTGAGACTGCACGCTCTACAGCCTTGTCACTCTTATTGCCAACTAGCATGACGGGGACGGGCATTGCGGGACCCGATGATGTGCTCATGGGCGAGTTCAAGTAGCTAGGACCGGAAGGCGAACCGGAGCTTGACGATTCTTTGACCATCTTGATTTGGTTGTAAAATTTTGTGATGCGGGAGAATGAGGCGCGCGATGTGATGCTGTACACCAGTACAAAACCTTCCCCATCCCGGATCCACTGGTCTCGTAGTGCGGTATATTCTTCCTGACCCGCTGTGTCCAGCACCTCGAGCATGCACGATTGTTGATCGATCACGACTTGTTTCCGATATGAATCTTCGATGGTTGGATCGTATGTTTCGACAAAATGATTAAGACACAGCTATAAAAGTATCCGCAGTTTTAGTGTGGTTCATGGTCCAGAGATATAGGTCAACCAACCTGAATGGTAAGGGCGGTCTTTCCAACACCTCCATCTCCCAACACCACCAGCTTGTACAACGTCATTTTTCCAGCCATGGCAACTGGAATTGAAAAATCAAGAAAAAAGATCAATTAACTTTGAGAAGTTAGTTTCATAACGACAGAACTTGCAAATGGACATACCCTATAATTATTTCAGGGGAAAGAGGGGGGGGGGAAAGGCAAGGAGGGGGGGAAAGGGTGAAGTGGCCCACGTTCCAGGCGGGGGCGAAAATAGAAAAGCGGGAGCTTCCGATTTCACAGCAATCCCCCAATTGTTTGCAAAGAAGAGAAGAAAGAGAAAAGGAATTAGAGATGGGAAGTTTGAGGGGGGGGGGGAAGAGGATTGTGCGAAGTCTTGGTCCGGGGGGCTGGAACGAAGTGGAGAGAGGGGTTCAAGACCGAATTTACAAAGAAGATAGAGAAAAAAAAAATATATATATATATATATATATAAGAAATATAGAAAAATATATAGAAAAATATAGAGAAAACATATAAAGAAATTTAAAGAAATATAACTCTACAAATTCGAGACGGTTTCGGGTATGAAAAAAAATAATAATAATGAGAAAAGAGAAATATAAATGTTATAACTTCGTGACAGCTCCATGAAGTCATACATTTTCTTACATTTAAAGGCTTTTCTTCTATTATATTTCACATAAAAAAAGTCCAGGTCCCGAAAGCTCCACTGTAAAAAGGAGAAGCGCACAGGGCACAGTGGATAGTCCCGGATACTAAAAGCTCAGAGCTCTTTTTGATTAACCGAGAATCTGTTCTTATATTTTCAATATCTCCCTGGACTATATTATATATTATATTATACTATATACTATACACTATATAATATAAAATATAAATTATATTGTACAAGGAGTAATGGAATTAAATTCCCTTGAGAGTTACTACGCCTACTTAGGTATAGTTTATAAGACCTTAGACAGTGTAATGGATTTGGGAACATCTAAAGGTTCAACGCCAACCTCGAACTAGTGTAGGATCGAGTCTTGGCCAGTATAGATTGGCTTATTCCCACGTTATACCCCTGTTATTTTATTTTCTCCTTTCAGACCTAATACCTAGCTAGGCAATAGGTTCATCTTTGTCCTATTACCGGTAAATGTCAGAGTCTAATGTCCACCGGAATGGTCCCAATAGATTCGAAAGTGGACAGCGGAAGGAGGTTCGGAAGGTGGATATGTATGGGCTCTTTCTTTTTTTACTGTGCTTTGTTTGGCCATTTCCAACCCCCTTTCAAACTCGGTCAATTTCCATAGTAGGCAATTGGTTGGGCATCAAACCCAATAGGGTCCGGGATGTCTCCGTTTCCCGTCCCAGTTCTGTGGCCGTGGGCCAGGGGGTTATCGGGGAAACTGTTTCTGTCCACTTTTTTTTTTTTTTTTTTTTTTGTTTTTCTTTTTTCTTTTGTTGAAATGGCCCCGGCCCCGACGGATCCCATTTCTTTCTTTTTTTCTTTTTTTGATCAGCTAATTTTTGAGACAGTGATGCCATATTTAATCTTTGTACGGAGTACCGAGTACAGAGTACGGAGTAGCTCCCAATATATTTAACTCTGGAGTAAACATTTAAAGAGAATTGGGCTTGTTTCATCCTCCTGTTCATACGGAAAGGCCCGGCCCAACAGAGTTACTCTTTAAGGGGGAGCTCTGCCCGCCAATAATGGTTTGATTGCAGCAGGGGTTGGCAGACGGCTCCTCCCGCTTGACCATACAACATACGGGGAACGATGAAATCCATCCCATTTAACGGTCCGCTATGGGATCCTAGGTCCTGTTCATATAGGCTACGGAGTACCGGTGGCGGGGCTCGGTATGCACCTGCCTTATACTGACGTGCAGGATGCAACGGCTCTTGTTCATGCCCCGTGAATCCGTGATGTCCTATGTGTTCGTGGATGCATCCATGTGTCAGCCTTCTTGTGATCGACAGAGCGGTTCCCAGTGGATTGGCCCTTGGAAAACTAACCGTTAGACACTGGAATTTTTCAAAAAGTATTCCTTATAGCTCAATCTTGGCTCGAGGGATCTGCATTATTGATGGCTTGGATACTGCTTAAGGGGTTTGTCCCTCGGGTATCTCCCCAGGATCACATGCTTATATGTTGTACAACATACACTGTAATTGCAGACTAAGTAGATGTCGATCTCACCGTGCTAAGCCACCGAAACATCCCTGATGATATTCTCCTAAAGCGCGTGGAAACACTAATGGGATCCTCCCATTACGCTATTAAATTCGACGGTGGGACTTCAATATCAGGTGAGGGTGTCAAAGCTCAATATGTAATAGTTATATGACTTTTTTTTTTTGTGGAGAGAGGGGAAGGATGCCATGTGGCCAAAATGCTTAAGCTGTAAGCATGATCTAATAGTACTGCAGCCCTACTCTTTAGGCTCAGCTGCACTAGAGCCTCAATAGTACTGGTATTTCTTTTTTCTTTTTTCTTTTTTTTTAGAAAAGTCCATATTCACATTTAATCTGCGATAGGGGCTACAGTTCTGTGAGATCCACAGAATCGGCATTGGTATGATATGACGCAGGGCAGGCTTGAACAATCTATTTGGAACACGGCTGGGTGTCTAAATCGCCTAATAAGGTTATCTTCTGTCGGGCTAGGATTATATTTGCCCTTTTCCTTGGAAGTTCATACTAATTCCTGGTATATGATGCCAGTGAGTGAGCTTTATGTTCACGGGTACTCCGTAGTGTCACTTAAGCTACTCCATAATTCATCTGTAGCCATTTTTATATTGTAATATCTAAATAAATTGTAACCTCCCAACATACAGGTTTACTGATCTAGTCACCCTCGCTGAATATCATTCAAGTAAGCCGTTACCCTCTCCACCAAAATCCGCCGCGGCTCCGCTTGATCGCTGTCACTCAGCGCATGCGATGCGTTAGGAATAACCATGCTCCTTGAATCCCAGATCTGCCGCCCACTCCCATCAGCAGCAATCTGCCACCTCTTCAAGAGAGCTTCTTTATTAACCCACGGCGGGACCGACTGATCCCTCCCAGAGTATAGCACCAGCATTTTCTGCTTCAGCAAACCCCTCTCCTGGATCATTCCAAATGTTCCGCGGAACTGCTCATCACTCAAATCAGAACTAAACAAATCGTCCTCAGACGGATTCTCTGGACTATCCGGGCTAACCAGACTCAAGAACCGCCGACTGCTAACCGGGGCAGAGGGTGGATATCCAATCCGCGATGTCACAGACAACGGCACAACCGTATCGACAAGATCGTGATCTTCGTACATCGCCCGACGTGCATCAGCAACAGCCTTGTTGTATATCGCACGCATCTTAGCCGGGCTATCACGCTCAGTGCCACACTTTACAACCCACAATATACCCTCGCGGTCAGAAACAGGCGCTTGCATAATTGCCCCATCAACTGGTACCCTCACAATTGGCTTCCAGTGGCGGTCAAAGACAGGGTGTGCCGGCCGTGGGTTGGGACAGTTGATATAGTGCATCACATCCTGGCTGCCCGTCGAATGACCCATGATGACCACTTTTCCGGTACCGAACTGTGGCTCCTTGTATCTGCGCACGTATGAGACGCACTGGGATAGCTCATCGATGTCTTTTCCTAGTCGTCCCATACCCCACCCTCCGCCGGCGCAGGATAGGATTAAGGAGAATACACTCCATTGGGATGGATCTAGCGCGCGGACTACGTCGTTTAGATAGTCGACTGAGCCGAGGCTGTCACCTAGTCCCCCGACGAAGATGAGTGTGTGTGGCTTGGGTACATAACTACGGGTGTATTCGAAGGCGACGAGGTTTTCAGTCTGTGAGGTGGCGTTAGCGGTGTGAATATCTTGACTGCGAGGTTGGGTGGTGTACGCAGTGATGTAGCACACCGGGCTGTCCCTGTGGTAGTGAGGTGAGGAGCTTGATTTGCATTATCGGGTGTTGCGTGCTGCAGGTGCAGGTCCTCAGGTGCAGATTGGGTTGACAATGTGCGTCAGATCAGATAAGAGGCCATCAGATAAGGAGATACCAGGTGCGGACTTATTCCGATACCGGCTTCGCGAAGGGCGGTAAGATCGGACGTTAGGGCTCGGATATATTACTAGCATGTATTATTGGTATTATATTAACAACTCCCGGCATCGGAATTTGACTTCATACTTCTCTCAAGTTGATCATCTCGGAAAGAAAGAGCCGAAAGGTATCTACCTTTATCCTTGGCATATAAGTACGATGAATTAACAGGATGCTGCCTTCATTCTGCACCAAGATGTACTGCAGGCTGGCGAGGTGGTTTAGCACGCGATGACTCTCATGAACGCTGCATGGTTTATCGACTAGCTCTTTGAAAGGCGCTCGGTACCGTCGTTGGTTCCAACGGAATCTTTCTGAGCGACGGCCAAAAGTAGCAAGTTGTGGCCACACGAGCTCTAATCAAAGATCCTAAGACATTGATCCTTGACAAAGCTGCAACTTCTATCAACTCCAGGAGCGAGAAGGACATTCTCCTAGCCATTGGGCGCTGCTCTGAAGCGAGAACCAACGCTACGTCATCTTTCTGCCTTTCGATAATGATAAGAATAGTCGGCAGCATAAGCGACCTTGCGATATCTTTTCAGTAGTCTTCTCAGTGGTCTCTTCAATAGTCTATTTAATAGTATTCTCAGATATCATTATATTTACATGTCTTGCCAGTTTTATAGGCCGACGGCAAAAAAAGGTGGACAAATTCTTACTTTGTGCAAACGACTAATCTATGTATAACATTTGATGATGAAATTATAGGGATGCCCGATGGAGGTGTCATGGAAGAAGGGAATTATATCAAACTTCAAATGACCCTATAAAACGGCTCAAAATAGTCGTGTTTAGCTGCAGAATCTCAATACCGACTTGTCAAACAAGACAGTCGATAATCACGGAACCAACGTCACTGCAGCGTAGTAAGCCACTGATAATTACCAGTAACGTGAAGTTATCCATGGATCGAAAGGCAAGAGGTCGTCTCCTTTGATGAGATAGAAAAGTCTTGGAATGTCGCCCACTCCA